GAATTCGACACGTTAATGATGGTCTGGGCCTGGCTGGGGCGATGGCACATGTGCCCACAGAGAGGGCTCTGAGTGCCGCCTCTGGCACCCATGCCATAGGTTCGCCACCACTGTGATAGACCGAGAGTCTGTCTCTGTATGAGGCAGCCATGTCTTCAGACAGCCACTGAGAAACTAACGCCCTTACTACAGCTAAGAGACTTGTATTAGCACATCGGCAAGATAAAAGCCCACCTCTGGTAAATCAATGGATTGAGGGCCTTAGAACTCTGTAAGTATTTGAACGCATGGCAGTGAAAGCAATTGCGCATGGCTTATTTTTAGATACTTGGAAACTATTTATCAAAACCTACGTGTAGATCTTCCAGCACCGTGGTTATATTTTTGTCCTTACTACAAATATACCCTTTAAAAAAAAAAAAAAAAGAATCTTATCTAGTAGCTGTTTTAAGTTTTTTAAAAAGAAAGAAATTGTGTTTTTTTAAAAAATCTCTGAGGAACTCTCTGCGTCTGCCAGTGTTTCCTCTAAACTGAGTTAGTGTGAGCCAGCTCACAGTCTTTTAGCCTCCGGCTCACACATTTTTGTCTCCGCTCAGGAAGGGATGGCTCCAGAGCAAACTCATTTATGCTCCAGCCAAATGGCTCCCTCACAACTTTAATGCCAGCGGATCACCAAGTAGAATTTTTGCTCACAAGACTCCACAGCTTAGAGGGAGCATCTGCACATTAAAGGCCAACCCAACTCTGGGTCCACCATGGCATGAGCAGAGATGGTCCACCATGGCATTCCTCTGCACAACAGTCCTGTACTTCCTTGGTGGTCTCCCATCCAACTACTAACCACCTCTAACCCAGCCAGGTTGGTGTAGTGGTTAGGAGCGCGGACTCTAATCTAGGAGAACTGGGTTTGATTCCCCACTCCTCCACAGGCGGCCAGCTGGGTGACCTCGGGTCAGTCACAAGTTATCTCAGAGCTCTCCCAGTCCCGCCTACCTCACAGGGTGTCTGTTGTGGGGAAGGGAAGGGAAAGGAGACTGTAAGCTGCTCTGGGACTCCTTCAGGTAGTGAAGGGCGGGGTATAAATCCAATCTCCTCCTCCTCCTCTTCCAAGCTCTGATGAGACCGGGGCTTACCTGGGCTACTGAGGCTGCTGTCTGCGTATTTATCATTTATATAGCACTTTTAGGGTGGTTCAGATGCGGCGTTTGCAACGGTATAGGTGCCGGTTGCAATCGGTGTACTTACCGGTGTTCACACATAGAACATCTGCCTTCCGTCCCTAACCGTTGCAAAGCCCTTTAAACCGTTGCACTCTGCCACTAGGTCCCCAAGTGGTGGTATCCTGAGTGCAACGGTTGTAATCGCTTAACCCCCCCATCTGATCGCTCTCCACCGTTGCAGAGCCACTTCCGTTCGGAAGCCTGAGGCTTCCGATTTTCTCCAGCCATTTTTTTTTAAAGGTCGGCGATATGCGCTTGGGCGAAGCTTCGCCCTGGCGTTTGTTTAAAAAAAGGAAAAGAAAAGGGCCTTAGTTTAGCGTTTTGGAGGCGTCCGGGACCTCAGAGAGGCTACTTTGCTCTTTAAACTTTAAAGGTAAGTCCTTGCCTTTAAAGTTTAAATGTAAGACAGGGTTTTTTGCGCATGCGCGAAGATCGCCATTCTATGGATGGCTGCCTATGCGCATGCTCAAACTGAGTTAAAAAAAAAAACCAAAAAAGGCCGATGCCCGCTGTGTGTGGACGGGCATACAGCGATGGGATCCGCAGACAGGAGGTGAGTGTGATCGCGTTTCAGCCGGCATAAACTGCACCGGTTCCAACCGGTACAGTTTATGCCGGCTGAAACGGCACGTCTGAACGCACCCTTAGTGATGTTATTCTTTCAGCAACCCTGAAAGACAGCGTGTCCCTATTATCTCCACACAGAAGATGGGGCACAGACAGTGGCTTGTAAAGGTCCCCCAAAGTACATTTACAACGGGGCAGAAATTTCAACCAAGGTTACAGTTTTGTCCCTTACCTGCTCCATTTTGCTACCTGGCTTCTGCAATCTATTTTACAGCCTCTCAGGACTAAATGGATTATGAACTGCAGAGGGAGTCTCTGCTCACCAGCCATTCCCTGACAAAGGTTTACCTTTCTGGTCACTGCAATTAAGATGAAAAATGCTCTCCCCTTCAGCCACACAGCTCAGGGTCTATAAATACAGCAGTGACAGATTCTTCTCTGGGGGTAGATGGTGGGATTGGAGATAAATGCAATCCATTACATCTGCACTTTGCAAATCTAAAGAGTTTAACAGTCACTTGAGAATTCTCTGATATACTTGCAATGATTATTTGGTGTTTTTTTTGGGGGGGGGGAATATTCCATACATATAAGACAGAGAATCAACAAATTTACATAGCTACACATTAGGGAAGGTTCACTGTATCGTTTTTTTTTAACATAGTCATTTGATCTCATACTGTAACCAAAGAGTTTATTTCTTTTTTCCACCTTATGGTTTTAATATACCTATTTTGCTCACAGCTAGGTATATTTGCTTTCTTCTGGCTGCTCTCCTCTTCTCTGCACGACTCAAGTCTTAGCGAGCTGCTAAGTTGTGTGTTTTTTTATTAAACTAAAGTTTGTGCATGCTCCGTTGGTTGCTTGTGCGCATCCGTCGAAACTTGGAAAAAACACACACCACCTTTTAGCTAGGGGACATGGGCGGGCACCGGAACTACCTCCGGAAACGCGATCAGACGCTCGCCCTTGCCCCGCGGTTTCCGGAAACTAGTACCTCGGAGGTACTAGTTTTTTAAACTGGATCTTCGGAGGGAAGCCTCGGGTAATTCACGGGAGCTCTATGCTTCCCAGATGTGGCGGTGAGATCGCACCCAGAAAATCCACCTATCTTCCGTCTCTCTAGCATGGCTAATGTTCCGTGTGACCGCAGCCAGGGTTGGTGTAAGTCAGGACCCAGAAGCAACTTGATGGAACTTAACACACATATAGATTTCAATAATATAATCTATCACACTCATCCTGGTCTCTGACCAGTAAGTAAATTCTGCAGGGTGGTCTTTTAGATAAGATCCATTTAAGATACAGAGGTTCATTCTGCTAATTACCTGTGCCATTATATTTTCAGCATAATTTGCTTTGGAATCCTTTGAGTATCTAGGATAAGGTAAATAATAATTTCCAGTCTCTGGAAGGCAGTCTTTATAATTACTATATAAGCTGTTATTATCTTGTCCCATTCTGGCATTAAAATCCCCTCCTATAATAATATATGCCCTTGGATTATTTAGTATTATCTGCCAAATATATGTTTCCAATTCTTTCCACTCCGTTTGTATTTGTGATTTTATTTTAGCTGTAGTTAAATATACGTTTATAATGACACAGGAGACCTGATGAAAGGCCAACAACACTGCCATTGCTAATTGGCCACAAGAAGGGAGCTTAGTATTAATATTAACATTTAAAGATGCCGTAACTAAAATCTCTAATCCTCCCTTTACCCTTCCATGTTGGGAGGGCCTCTAAACACCATGTTTCTTGTACCAATATCACATCATATTTACTTAACAATTTTTTGTATATTACCTTCTCTAATCCTACCCATGAAATTCCAAGACAGGAAGGCTAAGATTTGTGACTTGGATCCCCAACTTCCAATGGCTTTTTCAGACAGTCAGTCGTTAGAAATGATCTTATTCAGTTGTCCAGTGACATCTTGATATATACAGCCAGGGCTTTTTTTGTAGAAAAAGGCCAACAAGAACTCATGAGCATAATAGGCCACACCCAGCAGCAGAAATCATTAGCATATTAGGCCATACCCCCTGACTGCACCACTCATTAGCATATTAGGCCGCATTCCCATGTTACCAAAAGTGTGGTCATCCAGCCACATCCACCTTTTGCTTCTTATTCTGTTTACCTTGTTTGTTGTCAAAACCCAGGGCCTTTTTTGTTGCAGGAACTCCTTTGCATGTTAGGCCAAACACCGCTAATGTAGCCAATCCTAATGAGTTTCTGCTGTTGGGTGTGGCCTATTATGCTAATGAGTCCCTGCTGGGCGTGGCCAACTTGGGAGCCAGCCGGAACTCCGTTCCTGTGCGTTCCTGCCCAAAAATAGCCCTGTATACAGCCATTTTTAACACATATATAAATTCTCCCGTCAGAAAGTCATGTGCACATTTCCCCTAGAATCTGCAAGCGAGGTGGATTGCTGCTGACGGGATGTACGCCCTTGTGCAGGGGAAGCATCAGCCATGCCCAGCTGGTTCCAGAGGAGAACCAAGGGGCCACGGGAATTGGATTAGGGAATCAGTTCAGATGTGTAGTGTCCGCTGACCGCCACCGGAGGCCAGCGCACACGCCTGAGCTTCAGTCCAGGACAACAATGGGGACTAGGATCCTAGTCCCTCCACTGGGGGAACCAATGGGAACCGTGGCGGGAAATTCAAACCCGCCAATGGGACCCAGGGGTGGTCCCCTGGCTGTGTATATAGATGGCCTGCCGGCCGTTGGTTCGGTGTTCTTGTTGTGTGCCTAATAAAGCGTGCTATGCACTATGTCGTTGTATGTCGTCCATCCATGCGACAACCCACTACATAACAAGATGTATGAAGGAACCCTTTATTGCTGTTTTTGCCTGGAAACCTTGAACCTCTAATGAGGTTTATTTGTTTGCTTGCCTTTTGGCCAAAACGTCACCGATTGCCATTGCTCTAAATGACACCCGAGACGCTTAATCTTCCCAAGAGCTGCAGGGCCAGATTCAGCACAGGAGGAAGTTAAGTTCGAACCGTTGTCCCTTATCTGTCGATGTTTCGATTTGCAGGGAGTTTTTTACATGAGAGAACATAATAATATTTTTTTAAAAAAGAAAACCCTCCCCTGCAGTGTGAAGTGAAGCAGCCCATTTTGTCGCCTCAGAATTTTACCACCTCATCCTGTTGCCACAGACCACGCTCAGCCCGGAGGCCAATAAAATTGACAGACCTGGCCCGCCGATCAACAGGAGACCAGGCTGCAGCTCAGCTGTCGGCAAGGGCATGATGTCACTTCCTGGGAAAATCCAGAGGTGACATCACCCCTCTCTAGAAATCTCCAGAAACTCTATGGTAAAACTGGTGTTTCCTCAAAAGGGATGTCACTCCTCTCTAGGAATCAGCAAAAAACCTCTTTGGTTTTTACCACAGAGGTTCTGGTGATTCCTAGAGAGGACTGGTGTCACACCACTGTGAATGACTTATTTTAGTTTTTGCTGTCTCCCACTCATGACTGGAGTGCTGCTGGGGAAGGCCCACTGGGGGCAAGAGATCTCCCACCCACAGCAGGCATACGGCAACCATAGAGGCTAGGAGGCTCCGAGTTCTCCAGCCACTGACTCCACTTGGCCTGGCCAAATGGCTTCAGCTGCAAAGGCCAATGAGAAGAGGTCAGTGTCCCGAGGCATGGCTGGAGGCCACTCCAAGCACCTCGGGAAAGCGACTTTAGCTGAAGGTGCCCTCTCTCGAGATCCAGTTTGGTGTAGCAGTTGGGAGCATGGACTCTAAGCTGGAGAACCGGGTTTGATTCCCCACTCCACCACATGCAGCTCGCTGGGTGACCTTGGGCAAGCCACAGTTCTCTCTGAGCTGTTCTCTCAAGAGCAGTTCTCAGTCAGAGCTCCCTCAGCCCCACCTCCCTCACAGGGTATCTGTTGTGGGGAAGAGAAGGGAAAGGAGATTGTAAGCCACTCTGAGACCCCGACTGAAGGGCAGGGAATAAATACAATCTCTTCTTCTGCTGCTCTTAGAATGGTCCAGTCGGCCACAAATTGCCCCCCATGCCTTCTCTGCAGCCGGCCGCAATTATGAGACAAGCTCCTATCGGAGGTGCATAAGATCTCCTCCTTATTGGACAGACAGAGGATTTTAAAATCCGTTCTACATTAGAGGGCAGTTGTCTGAATTTTAGAAGAAGAAGAGATTGGATTTATACCCCGCCTTCACTACCCAAAGGTGTCTCAGAGTGGCTTACAAACTCCTTTCCCTTCCCCTCCCCACAACAGACACCCTGCGAGGTGGGTGGGGCTGAGAGAGCTCTGACAGAAACTGCTCTTTTTCAAGAACAGCTCTTATCAGAACTGTGGCTTGCCCAAGGTCATCCCGCAGGTGCAAGTGGAGGAGTGGGGAATCAAACCCTGTTCTCCCAGATTAGAGTCCGCGCACTTAACCACTACACCAAACTGGCCCTTTTATGCACCTATTTGCGTCTGGACTGTTGCTACGTATGAGGATTGATCATTTTCAGTGTCTTTTTTTCTAGCCTGAGTGGTTGTTACCAGCCATGGGCTCCTTGAGGGAAGGTATTTTAGAGTGGCTTTAAATAATACCAACTTGATCTTTTAGGAAAGTAGTATGAAATTCATTAAATAAGTGAAGAGCATTCTGGACTACATGGCCCAGTGGTCTGATCCAGCAGGCCATCCTTATGTTCTCGGCTGCGATCGGCTCTCTAGATGTGTAAAACAGAATTCCATGTGACAGAAGAAATGAGAATAAAAATGTAGCATGGAAACAGTTCCCATTAGGTACATGAACATGGAGGTCCCTCCACAGGCAGCTGCTGGTGTGACCTTGGGTCAGTCACAAGTTCTCTCAGAGCTGTTCTCTCACGAGCCGTTTCCGAAAGAGCTCCCTCAGCCCCACCTACCTCACAGGGTGTCTCTTGTGGGGAGGGGAAAGGAAAGGGATTCTAAGCTCCTCTGAGACTCCTTCAGGTAGTGAAGGGCAGGGTATAAATCCAATCCCTTCTTCTTCTTCTACATGCTTCCGGGATTTGCTTCCTGGATCTAGATTTCTCCCCCTTTGCCTTTGATTTGCACTGCAGTTGCTATTAAAGGCCTCTGTTCTTCTGACGGGGATGGGCCTCCTCGTGACTCAAAGAGCCAGCGCCCGCTTGTCAGAGCTGAAACAGGAGTCTCCCTCAAGCACACAATACCTAATAGGCTGTATCATCAAAGTTGACTTTAGTCAGCAGATACTGTGTGTAAAAGCAAGATTCATGCAGAAACTCCTGCTGGGAAGAAACCTAAAGCTTCTCTTAAAATCACAGACGGCTCCAAGAGACCGCTGGGAGAGACCAGCAGGAAGCGGGGGAGTCTCTCATCTAATTAAAGACCCAGAGAAGCTTCCACTGTATGCCCCAATTAACGTGTAAAATGGTGGCCTGCAGAAACTGCGCCGGTGTCTAGTCCATCAGTTATTTACAAAGGATTGTTTGCCTGGCATATGGCTTCTTCTTTGCACCTGTACAATGAACGCTAATATGGAAACCGACTCCTGTGTGCCAAATGCAGGGATCATTTCCTGCGGGAGCACACAGGAGCGGAGCTCCGGCAGTAAGGAGTCCAGGGGGCGGGTGCACATGCAGCAAGCCCCGCCCCCTGCTCCCAGCAGCCCTCAGTTGGGCCACGATGAGCAAGAAGCAGCCAGGTAAGTTGCAGAGGCCCCCCCGGCCCTCCTTCAGGTACAAGCTCTCCCTCCTCTGTGAGGACAGATCTGCGCGTCCCCCCACCCCCATAGCTAGCAATCCAAAACAGTCCATTGGCACCTTTAAGACCAAGTTTTATTCAGGTACAAGCTCTCCCTCTGTGAGGGCAAATCTGCACTCCCCCCCCCCCCAATAGCTAGCAATCCAAAACAGTCCAGTGGAGCCTGAGCAGTGGGTGTTGCCTTCTGACACACTTCCGGTGATGCCAGGGGGTGTGGCATATGCAAATAAGTTATGCTAATAAGTTATGCCAATGAGCTCCTGCACCTCTTTTTCTACGCAATGACCCCTGCCCAAATGAGTACCAGAAGCATGGCAAATGGTATATTCCCTTCCTCCTGGATGTCTGAGTTCAAACTGCCGAGAAGCTCTGCCAGCACAGTTGTCTGTATTTCCACCTTTCCCGAGAGAAGGAGGCCTGTGGTTGAGAGGCTTGAGTATGAGGACACAGCAGCCTCTTAAAAACACAAGAAGAGCCCTGCTGGATCAGACCAGTGAGGGCCCATCTAGTCCAGCATCCTGTCTCACGCAGTGGCCTCAGCCAGTTCCTCTGGAGGGCCAACAACAGGGCAGAGAGGCCAAGGCCTTCCCTTGCTAAGAGCATCAGAAGAGGCCGTGCTGGATCAGACCAGTGAGGGTCCATTCAGTCCAGCATCCCGTCTCACACAGTGGCCAATTAGTTCCTCTGGAGGTCCAACAAAAGGACAGAGAGGCCTAATATATTACACCAGATAAACTTGCTAAGCAGAATGAAAATTGTTCAGGTAAATGTTGGAAATGTAAAAATAAGATAGGTACATTTTATCATATGTGGTGGCTTTGCGATGTAACAAAGAGATACCGGAGATGGATCCACGAGATGATGCAAGAGATATTGAGATCTAAAATACCATTTTTGCCGGAAATATTACTACTAGGATTTTGATAAAGATGATAGATATTTTATAGTACATCTATCTACGGCAGCAAGAATATTATATGCAAAATATTGAAAACAAATGGAAGCACCAAAGAAGCAAGAATATGTGAACAAACTGTTGGAGACGGCTGAAAATGACAAACTGTCATCGTTGATGAGAGGGACAACAGACCTAACATTTCAAAAGACGTGGAAAAAACTGTATGACTGGTATAATATAAATGCATAGTTTAAAGTAATGAAATTTTTGGTATTATCAATCTCTTTAAGTTTAATAGAAACTATGGTAAAAAGATAATACAGAAACTTAAGCAAACCTATAGAAAGTGATTTAAGAAAATTTTTAAATACGGTAATAGAGTAATAAGAAAATATACTGATCTCTTTGTATGTCTTATGTATGTAAGTGGTTGTTTGTTTATATGTTGTATGTATGTATGTATGTGTATAATATGAAAAATAATAAAAGTGTACCTATGGGTACTTAACAACAACAACAACAAAAGGACAGAGAGGCTGAGGCCTTCCCTGATAAGAGCATCAGAAGAGCCCTGCTGGATCAGACCAGTGGTCCATCCAGTCCAGCATCCCGTCTCACACAGTGGCCAACCAGTCCTTCCGGATGGCCAACAACAGGGCATAGAGGCTGAGGCCTTCCCCTGGTAAGAACATCAGAAAAGCCCTGCTGGATCAGACCAGTGGTCCATCTAGTCCAGCCTCCTGTCTCACACAGTGGCCAACCAGTTTGTCTGGACAGCCAACAACAGGGCATAGAGGTCAAGACCTTCCCCTGGTAAGAACCTAATAAGAACCCTGCTGGATCAGGCCAATGGTCCAGCATCCTGTCTCACACAGCAGCCAAATAGTTGCCATGGAGTACAAACAAGCAGGGGACAGGGGCCAAGATCTTCCCCTGATGTTGCCTCCCAGCCGTGAATTTCAGAGGTTTACTGCCTCTGAACATGGAGGCTCCCTTTACTCACCACACCTGGTAGCCATAGGTAGGCCTCTCCTCCATGAAATCTACCTAAACCCCTTTCAACACCATCCACATTCAGGGCCATCACTACCTCCAGTAGCAAGAAATGCCACAATTTAATTACTCAGACCAAAAAAATCAACTCCTTTTATCTGCCTTTGTCTTCTTTTCCTCCAGACTCCATAAGATAGCTTCCCTGCCCTCACTGAGAACAATGCAAACCTTCAAGTTAAAACTGCAGCACTCTATTATTATGTAACTATAAGCATCCATCCTGTCTTGTCCAGGGGAACACAAGGCAGAGTCAAAGTTCTTGCAGAAATCCTAACAAGTCCACTGGTCTCTCAGTAGTCAAGTTCCACCACAGACAACCAACTGAACCCCCTCCAACAGCTTGACTCCAACAGCTGCTGCAGGAGACTGAGCTCTTAAATACTGGAGGAGACTCAGGAAGTTCAAGCTAGGCCCCGCCCACTTGGGACAGATAGTGCTTCTTCAAGGGGCCATGCTCAGTGTTCCCTGTAAGACAAGGGTGTCAAACATGTGGCCCAGGGGCCGGATCAGGCCCCCGGAGGGCTTCTGTCAGGCCCGCAGTGGAACTGGCTGTCTCCTGCTTCTT